CTCTCTCTCTCTCTCATTCTCTCTCTCTCTCTCTCTCTCTCTCTCTGTTTCTCTCCCTCTCTCTCCCTCTGTCTGTCTGTCTGTCTCTCTCTGTCTGTCTGTCTCTGTCTCTCTCTGTTTCTCTCTCTCTGTTTCTTTCTCTCTCTCAATCTGTCTCTCATTCTCTCTCTCTCTCTCTCTCTCTCTCTCTGTTTCTCTCCCTCTCTCTCCCTCTGTCTGTCTGTCTGTCTCTCTCTGTCTGTCTGTCTCTGTCTCTCTCTGTTTCTCTCTCTCTGTTTCTTTCTCTCTCTCAATCTGTCTCTCATTCTCTCTCTCTCTCTCTCTCTCTCTCTCTCTCTCTCTGTTTCTCTCCCTCTCTCTCCCTCTGTCTGTCTGTCTGTCTCTCTCTGTCTGTCTGTCTCTGTCTCTCTCTGTTTCTCTCTCTCTGTTTCTTTCTCTCTCTCAATCTCCCTCTCTCTTTCTCTCTCTCTCTCTTTCTCTCTCTTTTTTTGGAGGGGGGAGGGCAGGAGAAAGAAAACCACACACACATCACCCTATCCAACCTGAATGAAAATACTGGTTGGAATAATGAACTAACTAACACATTAAATAAATTCAGGGTTGTTTTTTTTTAAGCCAGTGGGCAGGAAGAAGGGTAAAGAAAAGATTCTAAACTAGAAAATGGTGTACCCCAAAATTCTGAACAACAGACCCCAGAAATATTTGCTTTTTAGTTACACTGTAGAAGAATAGCCGTGTTAATCCACAGTGGCCAAAATTTCAGATTTGTAACTGCACACTTTAAAATTCTAGGTTTAAAGTTTACCTCCTACTTAAATATTACCCAACTAGGTAATGTTTATTTTATCAGTGCTAGATAATTATCATCAGTGCTAGAAGGAAGTAAGCTTTGCTCTCTGTTTATTTGTATTTGCCACTTGCATAGTGCAAACTCCCCTCTCTTCTAGCATTGATGACATGACCTAGTTGGGCAAGGAAATGTCTGCAAGGAAACCACCGAGCTCAGAGAGCACCAAGGACACCACAGTCCTCTTACCAACATTGACAATGTTACCTTCTTGAGTCACGAAGGAAACCACTGAGCTCAGAGAGCACCAAGGACACCACAGTCCTCCTCCTCCTCTTGCTGCTCCCCAAACCCCACCCCCCTATTAACACTGATGATGTGACCTAGTTAGGGCAGGAAATGTCTGCAGGGAAACCACCAAGCTCAGAGGGCAGCAAGGACCCCACATTTCAACCCTGAGCGACAAACACTCCCTTCTATGGAAGTTTCCGATGTGTTTCTCCCCCACCCCGAGAGGAACAAAGGAGACAGATGTGCACTTTCACCCACCTTAGCCCTGGCTTCTCGAGCGGCTTCGGCTTCAGCCGCCATGGCCCTTTGAAGCTGGATCGGTAACTTCACGTCCTTGATTTCCACACGCGCCACTTTTATGCCCCAGTCATCCGTGGCATCGTCCAAGGTGGCCTGTTCAGAAAGAAGGAGGGAATTGAAGTCCTAATCGAAAGGTACTTTGGAGGCAAACTGGAGTTGTGGCCCTCAATAAATATAGGTTGCCTTTATTTTATTTATTTATTTATTTATTTATTAATTAGACTTATATACCGCTTCATAGAGCTTTCAGCCCTCTCTAAGCGGTTTACAAATTTTTTA